ACGAGGAGCAAGCTTGGCAGGCGCATGCTCTGTGCCCCTGTGGGCCCATTTGTTGAAATTCTGTGCTCATCCGATGTATTCTGCGCCCGCCTGGCGTAACTCGTTCGCTTACAGGCCCAAGCCGGCTACCGTGACCTCTTCCCACACGCCAGCCAGGACGCCACGAGCACCGACCTTCCCGTCGGTAAAGCCAGGGACGAGGCACGAGGCACGATGGAGCACGTTGGAACTCGTTGGAGCACGCTGGAGCGCCGAGGGCCCCGAGCGCCCCACCCCGGGAGCACCGCGTCGCACCTTGCAGCCCGCCCGCCCTCCTCGCTTCCGAGGGGCGTGCCGCCTCCGGCGCCGGCGCCGCCGGCCGACCCCGCGCCGGCGCCGCCCCCGTTCTGGACGCCCGAAATGGGTACTGAAAGAATGGGTACTATGCCCAACAGCGGATCTTGTTCATTTTGAACGAGATCCGCTGTCCACGCCGCCGCGGCCTGTGTCCATTCGAGACAGGAGGCCGCCCGCCCAACAGCGGCCGCTGTTGGTTTGGGACAACATTTGCTGTTGGGCATAGTACCCATTTTTTCGGTACCCATTTCGGGCGTCCAAACCCGTGCCGCGGCGGCTCGGCCGCCCGGGGGCTGGCCTTGGGGGCCTCTCTCCCTCCCTCCTGCCTCCAGGCCTCCCAGGTGTAGGTGTCGGGGGCGGCAAAGAGGGGGGTGATGACTAGGGGGGGGGGGATCTCATGGCGGGGGCCATGATGCTTCCCCAGGTTTCGCGGCGACTCTTCTTATTGCATTATGTCCCTGGCCCCCCCGCTGGGCCGCGCTTATGCCGCCGGCCATGATTTGCACTCCCCCTCTTGGACGCCCCCCCTCCTGGGCGCCCCCGAAGATAGGGGTCGGAGCAGACGGGGCCCGAGGATCGCTCCGCTTCGCCGATGCGTCGGCGATGCGGCTCGATGCGGAGCCCGATGATCTCCGCGCCGACGTCGCCGACGCATCGTCGATGCATCGCCGATGCATTGTCGATGCATCGCCGAGGCATCGGTGATGCATCGGCGATGCGGCGCGATCATCCGACCCCATCGACTCATACCCCATCTCGGAGGCCTCGATGTACGGACCAGCGCCACCAGAGGACCGGCGAGCCAGGAGCATGAATGCGAGCATGTTTCTGGAGGGAAAAATGCACACAGACACAATTAAATTAATCGTCGGTTCCCAAGAAAATATGGGAAAATATGGGAAGTGGGGGGGGGGGAGACAAAAACCCAGAAGATCTGGGAAAATATTGGAAATCCTGTTTTTTGTGTCTGTTTATTTGTGTGTCCCAGGGCCCCTTCAATGTTGGAGCTGAACATCTGGTCTCGGCGCTGCGGCGCCGCCGCCGTGCTCGGAGGGGCCGTCCTCCCTGCGCAGGCACCGCCCAGCTGATCGTGGAGGTCTGCCATCCGACAGTGGTCAGGGGCACCATAGTGGGGGATAGGCATAGGGGGGGATGCATCGACACCCAATCGCCCATTGATCGCCGATAGGGGCCCGATAGTCCCAAACTGCCCAGGAAGGGGCGGATTCACGATCGGAGGCCTATCGCCGATCTATCGGCGATGTATCGCCGATTCCAGGTCGATGCATCCCCCCCCCTATGCCAGTCCCCCCCTATCGTTGCCCCTCAAATGGAACCACCTCGACCGCCCACGAAAGCGGGGTTGAATGTGCGGCCCCGTATCTCCAGAGGGCTGCCGCCGAAGAGCGGGAGGAGCTTCCCTAGCGAGGGGATGATCTTGACAGGGGGCCCCTGTCCATCCGGAGAAGCCCGCCAGAGCAAGGTCCAAGGCCTTCCTTCCCTCCGCCTCCCCCCACCTCTTCGCGCTGCGACGTGAAAGACTACGACGGGCGGTCGTCTGTTATTTTCGGTTTCCGGGGGCCCTCACGGGGCCCCCGGACCGTCAAAAAACGGCTCGGGATGTCGGGATGAAAGACTGGCCCGGGGGAAGGGATCCAGCCGTCGGGGGGCCGTCGACGTCGGGGAAAAACACGACGTCGGAGTTCTGGTCGGCACGAACGACATGGGTACGGAAAGAATCGGTACGATGCCCAACAGCAGTTCTTGTTCATTTTGAACAGGACTAGCTGTCCGCGCCGCCGCGGCCTGTGCCCATTTGAGACTGAAGGCCGCCTGCCCAACAGCGGCCGTTGTTGGTTTGGGACAACATTCGTTGTTGGGCATTGTGCCCCTTTTTTCCGTACGCACTCCGGGCGTCCAAATTTGGGTTTTTTCTCCCTCCCCTCCCTCTCAGATGGGCCCGCTTGGCTTCGGCACGAGGGCCTGGTGCCCACGCCCACCGGGCGGTTCACCGCCGCGGCAGCGGACAGCGCAAACGGTGGAGCGGCGGCACCGCACTCCTTCCTCCTCGTGCGGCGCCCTCGCCCGGAGCTGCTCGGCCTCCCGGTCTCGGGCGGTTGTCTGGTGCACGTCGCAGCTCAGATATCCCTCCTCCCCTGCTTCCCCCCCCTCCTCCTCGGATCTTCCTCCGCCCATCCTCCCCTCTCCCTTTTCCCTCCCGTTCCCTCTCTCCTCCGCACGCTCCCATTCCAAGCCCTGCCTGCGGCGCAGCCCACGTTGGGCGGCGACCCCATCCTGCCTTCATTTAACTACTGCCTCATCCCTCCTCATTCTCATCCTTCTCCCTCCCTCTGTCCCTCTCCTTCCCCATGCTCCCTCGTCCTCCCTTGTCCTTTCTCCTCCATCACTCCTCCTCTTCCTTGTTCTTCCTCCCTCCCTCTCTGAACGGCCGGGATACAGAGCGCAGTGCCCCTCCGCTTCCTCCTTCTTTATCAGCCTTTCTCGTCCTCAACCCGCCCACTCCTCGACCACGTCCTCCCATCGGCATCCCCTCCCTCCTACTGCTCCTCCTCCTCATCATCCTGCTCCTCTCCCTTCTCCTCTTCCCTTGTATTCTCCGCGTAGCCTACGCACAACGCGCCAATTCCCAATTCCGTACTCACCCTAGCAAGTGTGTTGTTGTTTTTGTTGTTATGGGTTCCTTCTTTGCCCCATCATCATCATCATCATCAGCATCATCATCAGCATCATCATCAGCATCATCATGCCCCATTCGCAGTGATTTCCTGGCCTCTGGTGCGCTTGGGTCGCACCTGGCCGAATCCGCGTCGAGGAAGGGCGGCGGGTTGGGAGGCTAGGTTTGGTTCAGGAGAGTAAGGGTGAGGAGGAGGAGGAAGAAGAGGAGGAGGAGAGGGGATGATGAAAGGGGGAGGAAGAAGAGGAGGAAGAGGAGGAGGATAAGCAACAGCTGCAATCTGGAGGAGGGGCATGGACGATGAGGAGGTGGGAGGAGGAGAAAGAGGAGGAAGTGGTGGCAGAGGCTGCCGGAGGAGAGAGGAGGTGAGGAGTTCAGCAAGCGCGTTCCATTACTCGCAGAGTGCCTACTCGCAAACGTGCAAAAAACACATGTCTGCTTTGATGTAATTTCTCGTAGATCCTCCGCGGGGGATCCAGGCCATTTGCGAGTAGTTACTTTGCGAGTAGTGGAGCGCGCTTGTCTAGGGGAGGTGAGAGGAGGGGGGAAGGGGTAGAGGTAAGAGAGAGATGGGACAGGGACAGGTCGGGCGCGCTCGCACCGTATCTGACATCATACCCCCCTCCCATCCCTTCTCATTGCGCCGACTTCTCTCTGCCCGCCGACGAGTGTCATTCAGGAGGGGAAAAAACACAGACACAATGAATCGTCGAGTACCCAGGAAAATATGGGAACATATGGGAAGTGGGGGGAGACAAAAACCCAGAACATATGGGAAAATAGGGGGAATCCTGTTATTTTGTGTGTATTTATTTGTGTGTGGCCCAGGGCCCCTTCAGTCATGGCGGACCTGGAACCCTCGAAAGGCCCCATCGTGCGATGCGTTGCCATCAAAGTTAATGACAATGGGAGCTGTGTACATTCGAGGAGGGGGAGGACCCGGAGGATCCAGAGGATTAGCAGGAGGAAGCAGATGAGGGTGGGGGAGAGGGAGGATGAGGAGTTCCAGCAGCAATAAATAGCAGCAGGAGTAGAGGGAGCGAGAGGAGCGGGATGACCAGTGGAAGGCGGAGGAGGGGAAAGGAGCGAAGGGCTCGGGCCCAGAATTGTGGAGAGGAACGTAGGACGAGGGCTAGGAGAGCGAGGCAAATACAAATAAGGAGGAGGGCGATGACGAGGACGAGCGAGGAGGTAATCTAGACGGGTGGGAGAATGCAGCGAGGAGGGAGGAGGAGCGTCGATCGTGGACTGGCGTTGGCTGTGCCCCGCGGGCGGCCACAGTGGGAGAAGGCGCAGCAGCACCGGCACGGCCAGGACGACCATGACGAGCAGAACGAGGAGCACGAGCGAGGGCGCCGACGGCCGACGGAGCCCGAGCCGGCGCCCGGAGGCCGAGGGCCAGCGGCCCGCGGACGACGACCGCGGCGACGACGGCCGGCCGCCGACGGGTCCTGGCCGACGGCGGCCGACGAGACGGCCGCGCGCCCGCAGCCGCCGCACGCCGACCCCGGGCGGGACGCCGCCGCCCTGCGCGCCCAGCTGCGGCGCCTCGAGGGCTGGGGCCGGGCCGCCGAAGGCCCGCGGGCGCGCGCCGCCGGCCGCCGCCGCGGACGGCGGCGCCCGCCGCCGCGGCCGCCCGCCGCTGCCGGCGGCGGCGGTCGGCGTCGGTCGGTCGTTTCGTCGCCGCCGTCGGTCGTCGTCGGTCGGTCGGCGCCAGCGGCCGTCGTCGTCGATTTTTGTCGGCGTCGTTGCTCGATCGTCGGCATCCTCGTCGGCTGTGGCGGTCGGTCGTCGTCGCCGTCGCTGTCGACACGCGCGCCGTCCCTGTCATCGTCCTCGCCCTCACTTCTCCGCCGTCCTCCTCACCCAGCCCCCCCTCCACCGCCGTCCTCCTCGAGTCTCCCCCCTCTCCCTCCACACGTCTTCAGGGAAGAGAGGGATGGGGATGGAGGCTGGAGGGCTACGCAGGATGGTTCGAAGAAGGTCGAAGAAGAAGAACTCCATGAAGTTTCTGGGGGTCCGCGCAGCGCCGCTCATTTGATCAAGGGGTGGGGAGCCGCGGCGCCAAGCTGGGCGGTGCGAAGCTCTGCGGCATGTGACGCGGACCCCGCGCGGGGTCGCGGCGGCGCCGCGGCCGCCGCGTGACCGAGGCGGGCCTCCGGGGGCAGCGGTGCATGCGGCTGGTGTCGTACAACCTGCTGAGTCTGCGCAGGGAGCTCCGCACGGAGGGCATCAGCCGCCAACTGTCGCGGGTGGACGCGGTGGCTCTCGAGGGAGAGCAGTTGCCGTGGCAGCCGGGCGAGGAGCTCCTGACCCGACAGCGCCTCCCGCACAACACTGCTATACATTGGGGGCGGGGACGCGGGCGTCAGTCCAACAAGAGTTGTGGGGTATCGCTGCTGGTCGGCGAGGACTTCAAGGTGCTGGAGACCCGATCGCCGCCGCCGGCCCTGAGGGCTCGCGCTGGGACGGCGCGCATCCGCCGGGGGCTGCTGGACCTCATGGTCTCATGGTGGTGGTGCTCTGCTTCCCCGCCGTCGGCTGCCGCTTCCGCGACGAGACGGTGTCCGAATTGTTCGAGTGGACGGAGGGGGCGCTGGCTAGGGCGCCGGCGCGCGCGCCCCCGCTGCTGTGCGCCGGCCTCAACGACGGGCTCGGCCTGGTGCAGTCCGAATGGGGCGCCTGCGGCCCCATGCCGCAGGCCACTGGCACGGTCAGCGCTGCGCTGGAGCACCAGGCGGGGTCGGCGTGGCGCGAGATGGGCGGGAGGTGGCAGGTGTGCTCGGTGAACACGTTTTTCAGGAGGGGAAAAAACACACAGACACAATTAATCGTCGATTCCCAAGAAAATATTGGAAAATATGGGAATTGGGCGGGAAGGCAAAAACATAGAACATATGGGGAAATATTGGGAATCTGATTATTTGTGTGTATTTATTTGTGTGTCCCAGGGCCCCTGCTGTTTTTCCCTGGGCTCACCTTCACGGGGCCTCGGGGCCATTGCTCGCGGCCCGATGTCGTGGCGCTGCCGTGGGACTTGCTGCCTGTTGTCCGCACCTGCACTCCGATGTTCGTGGCGAAGGGGATCGACTGCAGCTGATCGCATCCCGCTCGCGGCGGGATCACACGCTTGTACTGGTCGACGTGCTCACAAACCCATGCATCCTGAGCTTCTCCCACGGCCCGTGCGTCGCTCGTGGGACTTGGACCACTGCATAGGGGGCCATGCTGCGTGGAGAGGGCAAGGCCGTCTTCCTGCAGGAGTTGGAGCGACGGGCATCGCTGCTTCCGGAACGCCGTTTCGATATGGAAAGTGGTCCGGACGAGCCCTAGGACGAGCTGGCCACCTTGGTCGGGGACCTCAGCCTGGAGCACTTCGGCTGCGCGGCCCGTTCCTCAGCCGAGGCGGACAGTGCGTCTGCAGAGCGGGGGATCTTGCTGGCGCGGCGGGCCGAGCTACGAGCGCAGCTCATCGCGGTGGGCCCGGCGGCCGTGGACGAGGGCGAGGAGATGAGCTGGTGCGATCTCGAGCTGGAGGTGGCCTCAGAAGTTGCGCAAGCTCCATCGCCAGCAGCGGCGACAGATGTGGACGCGCGGAGGCTGGCGCAGCAGCTGCGCCCTGGCCCACTCGCGCCGCAGTTCGAGCCGCGCGAGGCTCGGCGGCTCGCGGCGGTGGGCCTGGGCGAGCTGGAGGAGAGAGTGCGCGTGATGCAGCCTCGGCGGGCCGTCCCTCCCTGGTCGGCGCCTGTGCTCGTTTGGAGGATGTGCTTGTCGCCAGATCGCGCCGCAGCGGCGACGTCGTGGGGGTGCGGGATCGGCTACGAGGAGCCCGACGCGAGTTTGCTCTTCTTTCGGCATCGACTGTGGTACTCGCTGGCGGTCATCCGGCTGTGCCAGACCACGCCGACGGGCTGGTCGCGCTGGCGGGCAGCCGACATCGGGAGACCGATTCACGCGATGCGCCTCGTCGGCAAGGCCATCGCATCGACGCCCATGGCTCAGTCGGAGCCCCAGGCTGCACATCACCATCACCTCGGCTTCGTGCGGCATCGCTCTCTTGAGGGGGCCCTTGCGACGGTCTACGCCGTGGGCGCCCGCTGCAGTCTGAATGGCCTGTCCGCCATCACCTCTTTCACGGACCTCAGCACGGCAGTCCAGTGCCCCGAGCTGGAGTACATCAGGGCGGCGATGACCGAGCGGTTCCGCCCCGCGGACCTGCCAGCCACGACCCGCCGCGGCGAGGATTACCACTGCCTCGCGGGCGCGGCGGAGGGCGCCCTGGCCATGAAGCCGCGCCAGGGCGCCCTCATTTGCGAAGCGATCGGCCCTCCGCTGTCCCTTCGCGCGTTCCGGCCGCTCGCCGAGGGCGGGGCCGCTCGCGACCGCGCGCTACAGGGCGCCCACCAGCTGCTGGCGCCATCGGGCGCGCCTTGGGCCCCCCTGGCCTTCAGCCTCGCGAAGTTCGCAGACGACCTGTGCATGCGTTTCGCCTCGCATCGGCCTGGCGTGCTCCGCGCCGACGGCATGGCGCCCGACCAGCTTCTAGAAGCCGCCACAAAGCCAGCGTCTTTCAAGAAGAACTTGGGCAAGCAGTGCGCGATGTGCGTTCTTGTTCGCGGACCTGGTTCGCGGGGGCAGCGCGCGCTGGCGGCTCGCCATCTGGGCCCGATGGCGCGCGCGGCGGGGGCGCTCTCAGTAGAGCTCCGCGCCCGGGTCTTGGCGGCGCGGCGGGCGCACCTGGAGGCGGGCAACTTCTGGCGCGTGGTGGGCCCCTTGGAGACGCTGCGCCGGGCCCCCCGCCGTGGAGGACGGCGCATTTCGGCGCCGAGCACAGCCGGACCAGGTCGTGACGCTTCTCCGAAAATGGGCGTCGCCGCGACCGAGCTCCGCGCATGGCGCCTCGGGCTCCTCTTCCGGGTGCCGCGGCGGCCGCGCGAGCGGGGGATGCCGCTGACGGCCGTCTCCGGCCCCCTGCCCCTCGCGCGTGGCCAGGCCGCCGGGGCGGGCGGGCTCTTCTCGCAGCATGCGCCCCCGCTGGCGCGCATCTTCGTCGACGATTTGGACGCTCTCATGGTGTGCGAGGAGCGGGGGGGGGCTGCTGGAGCGTTGGGGCCGCCGTCCTCGGCTCCTGCTCGGGGGTTTGGAATTCGGGCAGGAGGTGCTCTCGCTGGACGCCCGCATCCTGCGGGTCTGGAGCTGGGTGGCGGTTCGCCCACCGCAGGCGCAAGTGGCCCCCGAGGTGCAGCACCGCTGGTGGGCGATCCGCCCTGACGGATTGTTTCGGCCCACGCGTCCGTTCCCCGCGCATGTCGATTTGGATGAGCTCTCGCACGAGGGGGTCTGGCGCCGGGCAGCGTTCTCATCAGAAAGAGCCCTCGCGGCACATCGCGCGCGCGCTCGCAACCACCGTTGCGCGGACGGGGGCGCTCTCTATGACGAACCAGCGCGTCTTCTGCGGGGCGGTTCTTCGCTGTCGGTAGCGCGCTGCCCAGCGCGCGCGCTTCGCCCTTGCATGTGGATGCTGTCGAGCTGGCTCGTCGTTCGGCGGGGCGACCTCGGTTGCGCCCGCCCCCATCGAGCGCCCGCTGCGCGCGCGAATTGCGTCGACGTTGGAGTCGCGCTGCAGCCGTGTCTTCGAACATCACTTCTTTGGTCTCCGGCCATCCCGACGCTGCGCCCGGCCTCGTCGAAGCTCGGCAGCCGTCCGCCATGGCGGTCGCAGCGCCCGCTAGGGCAGTGCTGGCCCCCGCCCTGGCGGCCCCTTGCGGCGGGCCCACCGCGCCCTGGGGGGCCCCGGTGGAGCTGGGTCGCGGGCGCGGGGGCGAGCCTCGCCAGCGACGTCGCCGCCTCTGCGCGGTGCAGGGCGAGGACGGGGGCGAGGAGGGCGAGTGCAGGCCGCCGCCTGCGGCGCGGCAGTCACGGCGGGGCGCGACGTCTGCGCGCCGCCTGCAGGGCGACTTCGATGAGACGGTTCAGCACCTGGCGCGGATTGCGCCCGGGCGCGACATCGACCTGATGGCCTTGCAGGCGGCGGCGTCATCTACTTTCGAGGATCGCGACGGCGGCAGGAGCCCCCGACGCGGGCCAGGCTTGCAGCGCGGCCTGCAAGGGCAAGAGCCCCTCGGCCCACAACATGGTGAACACCCCCGCACATCGCGGAGGCGGCGATCCGGGCCCTGGTTAACGACGAGAGGGCGAAGGGCGAGACGCTGGTGGGGCACGGTGGTCGCCTGGGCGGCAGCGCCCAGTCCGCGTCGCAGCTGCGCAAGCACTTCAGGATCCAGCCGTGCTTAGTGCGACCAAGTACGTCAAAGTCACGATGGCATGGGCCAGCGAAGCCGACCACGAGACTGTGGCGGAGGGCATCCTGAAGCTGCTGGGCGCGAGGCTGACGGGAGCGGCCCCGCCCGGCGGCGACCTCTTTCGCGCCCTCCAGGAGTGGCTCGGCCGCCGAGGGCAGCGCGGTAGGGCCGGGCGGCGCCGCCAGGCATGAACCTCGCGACATGGTCCGTGATTTTGAGGTTGACCACTGCTGCAGGCGAGCCCCCCGCTGGGCGGCCCGCGCCTGCCGCGCGTGATCGGCGCGACGCGGTGCTGGGATTCCTCCTCGCCCTCAGCTTGTCCGTGAGGTTCGCGGGCGCTGGGGGCGGCGACGGCGGCGGAGGCTGCGGGGCGTCGTTCCGAGGAGGCCCCGCTCGCGGACCCGCCGCGCGAGCGAAGGCTAGCCAGCTTGGGGGATGCTCAGAGGGGCCTTGTGCGGGCCCCCGTTCTGCTCGACAAAGAGGTCCGCGCGGACTTGATTGATCAGCGTTGGACCCCCTGCTCGGCGCGCGGAGCGCGACAGGGGCAGCGCCGGAGGCGCCGCCGGGGGCGCCCGCCCAGCGCAGCGCGCGCGCGCTGGGTCGCAGAAGCGGGCGTCGGCTTGGTCAGAGATGCATTGGACGCTTGGTTTTGACAGCAGGTTCTCGTCTAAGCTTCCGTCGTGGCCTGGTGGCTGGTGGTTTCCCTTCGGGGGGCTCGGGAGAGCGTCCGGCCCCTATGGTTTGGCAGCGCTGTCGGCCGCGGCGAGGTCGGTCATTCCTTGCGGAGCAGACCAGGCCGCGCAGGCCGTCGGTCCTCTTCCCTGGTCGGGGGCGTCAGCGGCGAGCCACGCAGCGCCGTCTGAACGTGGCCGCGCCCCGTTCGGATTTAGGCCCCGGTGCTTCTTCTCTGGCAGTGGTGGCGCGCCGCGCTGGGCGGCCTCGCCGGCCAGCTGGGTGGGCCCGCGCGGGCGGCCGCAAAGGCGCGAAGCGTTCGAGGTGTCCGATGGTTCTCGTGGAGCGCGCCCTGGCAGTCGACCAGATACCTTGCGGTGATGCACTCGTCTGGTCCTGGTCCTGTCGATGCGTGCTAGCCGACGTCGAACTGGATGCCTCCTCGCTTGGAGGCGGGCAGAACTGTCGGGGCGTCGGTTGGCCCGATGCCGAGCGTCGCCATGAGTTTCCATTTGTTTGCCACGGCGCCGTGGCGCCCCTGCAGGTGCGTGAGTTTTTGGGTTCCCGCGCGCCGTTAGTATGCACAGCTCCTGACAGCTCCTGAGCACTGGGGCGTGAACAGCTCCTGGATGGAGGGCGCGACGACGATGGCATCCTTTTCAGTCATTGTTCCGCGGATCCAGATCACATCGTCCGCAGGGCCCAGTGCGACTTGGAGCTCGGACCACATCTTGGAGGCACCTGATTTCGGCGCGGCCCATTTGTTGAGGCGTCCCCTGGCTGTGGTCCGGCACAGGTTTGGTAGCCCTTGCGTGTCGACGGAGAACGGGGATGGGGATTTCTTGGCTTGGGCTCTCGGTATCAAGGGGGCCCAGGACGGCCGCGGCAAGGGGCTTGTCGTGCGGGCGGACCTGCTGCAGGAGGCGGTTTCCCTCTAGCGCGTGCGCGGTGAGATGCCGCTGGTGCGCGACGTGCCGTCCGCCGCCCTGGCGGGCGCGATGGCGGCGGACACGTCCCAGTTGTGGTGCCTCGAGGCCGATGGGTGGGGCGGCGTCGATTCCTTGATGGGCATCGGCCGAGGCCGCGGACCCTGGCGAGTCATGGCTGGAACCCGTGTTCCGCGTCAGGGGGCGGCGCAGCATGGCATCGTCGACCCCTGATGTCCCATTCGCTTTCACCAGCCTGCCCCTCAGCTGGCGTTGGCTGGAGCGGCGCTTTTGGTATGCAACGTCGAGTTCGGTCGTGCGCTTGGGATCCAGCTCGTTGTGCGCTGCGACTGATCGGTCTGCGCCACCACTGCTCTGGAGCGCGGTGACGGAGGCTTCTTTTCGAGACAAGTTGCTATCCGAAGAGGCGACCTTTTGGCGGCCTGTGCGCGCCTTGGACTGCGGAGGATCGGGGCGTTCACGGCGGGGGCCTCTCTGAGCCACGTCGCGCGCGCGCGTGCGTTGAAGGCGAAGGTGACGCCAATCTGTCACGGTGAACTGGGTCGTGTTTGGTCCCGCGAGGCAAGAATGGATGCAGCGTGCTTGGCGCGTGGGCCCGTTCAGGGCAGAGCACTCGAGCCGAGACTGGAAGGAGGAAACCAAGCGACGGATGGCACGACAGGCAGAAAGAGAGAGAGAGAGAGAGGGGGAGCTGGAAGGGGGCAAGACGGCGCAGGGGCAGCGATCATTGAGAGCAGAAGAACCCCTAGCCCGAATGACGCGATGAAGACGTGGCCTCACTGAGGTCCCCGTCCTCGCATTAGGGATCATAGTTCTGGGCGGTTTGGTTCGGCTATCCCTGGCGTCGTTGGCCCTCCTAACGAAGCCCCCCCTCCAAAGGGTTAGGGGTCCCTTTTTGGTTGATCGAGCGGGGGCAAGAGAGCGGAAGGAGTGGGAGGCGGGCCCCGCCGAGGCGAGCTTTCGTCGCCGAGCCGCGCTGCGGCGGTCTGGGAGTGGCCCGCGGCGGGCGCAGCGGGAGGCGCCTTCGGCGGCTGTCGGCGCGCGCCGCCGACGCGCAGCCGGCGTGCAGTCGGCGCGCAGCCGATGCGCAGCCGCGCGCACAATCGGCGCGCAGTTGGCGCGCAATCGGCCCGTCGCCGGATCACGGGGGGTGTGCGGACGTTTTCGCCCGGCCTTCGAGGTGTTTTTGCTTCGGGATGCGTGTCAGCAGCCGTGCCTCGCCGAGACGCGTCGGGCGTGTCTGGGTCGTCCAGAACGGCCGCCGGAGACCCGAGTTACGGGCCAAAAACCGCGGGGGGAGGCGCGCAATCGGCGCGCAGTCGGCGCGCAGTGCTCGTTGCGGGCGGGGGGGCGCCACTGCGCAGCGCTCGCGGCGCGACAGCTACGACGACGAGGACAAGTACTGGCGCGCGGGGGTGAGTTTTCGACGGTAGCTGGCAGCTTCCAGGGACTCCGGGGGGCACGCGCGGTGTTCGTGGCCCAGGGAGAGGCTTACGGCACAGTGACGGGATGGGGGGGATCAGTTGGAGGGGGAGGGGACAGTGAGAGAAAGAAGTGGACGAGGAGGAGGGGGCGTTGGCACACAGTACTCGTGAAGCGGGGGGGATGCTTGCTGATGCGATGGATCGGGCAGGTTTCCCGAGGGTTGCGGATAGCATGCCGGGGCTCTCTTGGATTCCCGCGTTGCTTCAGATATCTCCAGCAGTGGCACAACTTCCTGGTTTGCCGATAGGCCCACCCAAGGCCGTTCTAAAAAACTGTTGTGGTTGGCGCGAAATGTTCTTAGAACATGTCTGGCATATACTGTGCTGATATACAACATCAGCTCTGTATTATAAGAAGTTGCGTCTGTTGTTAAACCATATATTTGTTATACGAGTTTGTGTGGTAGGCCTGTAGGGATGCCAGGACGGTCGGTCCCTGTTTTTATTTGTGTCGAGGGGAGGACCGGCTGAACACGATGATTCAACATGGCGACCTGAATGATGGAAGCTGCACTTGTCTCAAAGTTCACTGCCGAGTGTGGCCCTCAACAGCGCCGTACCGTGCATGTTTAAGTTGGACATGCGTTGCCAAATTGTCGTGTTGACCCGAAGTATTGCACATCAGCGCCAGCCACCACATGCGGCGTTAGACGTGGATAATGATAATC